ATATAAGTTTTTCAAATAAAGTCTAATGTTACAACTCATCATGGAGCCCTTTAAAGGAAGTCTTGGTGCCAGCAAATGTCACGTTTTGTTGTTGAATTCCTGTAATTGTCTGAACACGCTCACATTCAGGTCAGGTTGAAGTGCAACAAACTCAAACTATGCTTGTGATCCTCAAAGTTTGTTATTAAATGTAGTGATCCTGGCCTCAGTAAGGGATAAACCCTCAGCTATATTCACTAAAAGCAACACTTTTGGTAAAGATTAACCCTGAACAACCCTCCAATACTAAACCTGACTGACTAATCTATTTGGTAAACACTGAGACGCTGCCTCAGAAATTCTAATCAACGTCTCACTTAGAAATTAGAATTAGCTCTAGTTCTTTGTTCTGACCACTCTAAAGCCCCTCTCTGGCATCAGCCTCCCCATCTGCTGTACAATGTCCTCAAACTGGAGTGAGCACAGAAGCTGAAAGGACACCAAATCAGCCCCTGCCTGAGTCTGCAGACCCTCATTTCTGCAGGACATAACGGGGACTAACTGTTGCTTCTGTATGTGGGTGTGCATTACAAAGACCACGAGTGGTTTTAGCCAAGCGGCACAGGCGTTTTGGGAGCTTCTCGTAGGATTTTTGTGCACAGAGCAGCAGCAGACCAGGCGGAGGCGCTGAGAGTGTGGAGAACAGTAGGAGACCCTGGCAGTGGGCTTCGCTGGGGCTGTGGGAGGCTCGGAGGTGTCGGTGAGCTTCAGCAAAGAAAACAGCTTTAGGAACCATTGACAGGTTTACAGGGGATTAGTTCTTGCAGACTCTGCATTCTCAGATTTGAAGTGGAGAGAAAGCTTCTTATCACTAAAGAGCTTATTATGCCTCAGAGTGTACAGTGGAGCAAAACAATGAGGCATCACAAGCAGCCAGACACAAAGGAACACAACACTGTTTACATGCAATTACTCGCCAGCACAGCTGTGAAAACAACAGCAAGAAGCTTTTTGAATGCCACCAAATAGGGTTCAAGCAGGAGACAAAATAAATAAAGTGAAAATGGCAAACTAAGAATAAAAGCAGTGAATTCTACAGTATCTGTTTAATTGGATTAGTTGTTGCTGTCTGCTTTGTGATGCACTCTGCTTTATTCCTTTGCTTACTTTTTAAAGTAATGTTGTATGGAGGACACTTATTTTTAAGACACCTGAGTTTGGAGATTAAAAACAAAGAGCTAAATTCTCACTGAATAGCTCATTTTTGCATGAACACAAAAAGTGTCCTCGTCCTTTAAGCAAATACTAGTTTAAGTATGCTGATGCATCTCAGTAATCCAAGTAAAAAATCAAAAAGAAAAAATTGTATAGGTCTTCTGGACGGGTTTTTCTCTAATGAAACGTTTCGTCTCTCCTCCAAGCAGTGTTGTATATGCTGTTAAGTGCCAGGAGGACTGTGACCAGTTATACATCGGGGAAACAAAGCAGCCACTGTTCAAAAGAATGTCCCAACACAGACGAGCTACATCTAATGGCCAGAACTCTGCAGTTTTCACTCATTTACAGGCCAGCGGTCACTCTTTCAGAGATGAGGATGTTCTCATTCTTGATAGAGAGGAACGTTGGTTTGAGAGAGGAGTAAAAGAAGCCATTTTTGTAAAGAAAGACCGTCCATCATTAAACAGAGGTGGAGGCCTCCGTTTTCAGTTGTCCCCCTCCTACAGCGCTGTCATTGGCAGTATCACTCCACCCCCTGTTAACAATAGGTGTTAATTAGGTGTCAACGATAGCCATGTGATGTGAGTATCAGTCACCTGGAGGCAGGGCTTAAAAGCCTGAATTTTGCCTGAAACTCTCAGACTGAAGAAGTCTCTTGGAGGAGAGACGAAACGTTTCATTAGAGAAGAACCCGTCCAGAYGACCTATACATTTTTTTCTTTTTGACTAGTTTAAGTATTTTTATATCACATTAGCATGTAACAGGCGCTAATGATAATTTTTTCACCCCAGATACATTTCTGTTTCTGTGCTAACTTACGGAGCCCGCGATGGGACATAGGGAGATTTTTTTCTGTTGCGTTCGCATGCAATAGTATTGCGTTCCCTCGCAATACCTTTTGCGTTACCTCGCAATATCTTTGCATTACCTCACAATACTTTCGTGTTACCTCACAAAATTGTTTTGCGTTCCCACGCTAAAGATTGTTTTGTATATGAACTGAATTAAATCAGACTTTTATTTTGAAATATCCAGTTACCAAAACAGATTAGTGAATTGACATTGATGTTTCGTGGCTGCACTGTGTTAAAATATCAGCATATGACATACTTCCATGCGTGGTTGTGTGGTATATTCATTCTGAAGCTGAATTAAAGCAGTTGGCTAACTCGCTAATGGTGAACATGTGAGTTTGTTAATAAACCGACAGGCACAACAGTGATAAAACACTTTTGCGAAGGAACGCAAAAGAAAAAAAATCTCCCATGTCCCCTTGCGGGCTCCGTACTAACTAGTTTCCAACTCAGCCCTTTCAAAAAATGGGACAGCTCTGCAGGGAGCGGGGCTTAATGATGTAATGTGTCGGTTATGACATCATCACACAATATGTCTTATTTCCCCAACATTTCAGTTACATCCAACCTAAACAAGATTTATTCTTGTTTCTGTTATTTCCAAGAAACATGATGGGTTAAAAATAATTCAAACATAGTGTATTTTTGTCTCACAGCCCTTCAGATGCTGATGGTAAATATAAATATTTATGTTGCTGTAATTATCAAACTTTAAAAAAGCATTTACCACTTCAGAAAATAACTGTTCAAGAACAAATTTATTTAAAAAAATGCAAATCAGGGCCAGTATTTATAAAACTTCTTAGAGTGGATTTTTAGACTTATGTGCTGAAAATTTCTTAGATTTGCTCCTACTCTCAGACTTAAGTGTAAGAGCCAGTTATCAAAATTCTTAAGTGTAAGAATCACTCTTACTCTCAAGAAAAGTTCAYTCTGCTCCAGAGGACTCTTAAGTGGTTCAGAGTTGCCACTAGGGGTCTGAGATGGACTGAAGACAGAGATTACAGCTGTCCTCCTCCCCACCTGACTGTTATTCTCAGTTACAAGGTCGAAAACAAGTTTAATCAGAAATATACAAAAGAAACAAAGGTAAAATAAAATAAAATAAAAATAAAAAACTGTGCATAGTGCTGGACCAAAAGGCGGATATCTGTGTGAAGTCTTTGGAGAAAATATTAAATCAGCTGGTGAGTGCATGCC